GTATCATATATCATATAATACCTTGTTATTATAACCCAAGCATTGACAGAACGCTTCAATTTTATTACTTGCAAACTAAATTAGCATGCACAGAAATAAAGCAATGTTTACATATCAGAGTCATTAATTGACTCCTGTGCCAGACACAGATAGCACTGTTACTCCTGTATGAAATTTAGTCATTCTTATTAGGGCTGGGAGATATGGAAAAAATGTAATCTCGATAATTATTTTCCATATTGAACATTGACGATGTACATTTTGATATAAGTTTTTAATGCTACCAGATTTAGGAGTACCCCAACAATGACTGAAGCCACAAAAAAGAGAGGGTCCAATAAATGGCATAACTTATTTTCGGCCGATACATTTTCGGTGGCTGAAAATTCGATACATCTCTAATATCAGCACACTTTCAGATTTCTATTGATACACATTTCTGTTGTGTGATTGGCTCTTAGATCATTCATTCATTCATTAATTTTCTTTTCGGCTGAGTCACTTTATTAATCTGGGGTGACCACAGCAAAATGAACCGAAACTTATTCATCATATGTTTTACACAGTCATGTATTCAACATCCAAACACACTCATTCACACACATACACTACAGACAATTTTAACTAACCTACTTAAACCAGTAAAGTTTTTACATTGCACTTGAAGCTGAAGGATAGTATATGCCAAAATAGAGGAGTGCAGGGCACAAAGTAACGCAGGGTAAAATGTAACACAGAGTTTTAAGATATTAGCTAAGTATTAACCATGGCATGCTTCTGAGGTTTTTGCCACAATGTCGGCAGATGTGCTCCTGCCAATTATTGAAAAAGTTTAGTAAAATTTGAATGAGAAACACAAGAGGAACCATTTTTGCAGGATAAAATTATTTTTTATTATTCTCTATTTTTTTGTATTTAAATAAATCTGTGAAAGTATGTGCGTAAAATCTTATACTGATGTGATACTTCAAGGCTAACAATATTTTTTCTTCTGGAGAAAGTCTTATTTCTTTTATTTTGGCTAGTACAAAAGCAGTTTTAAATAAAAAAAAACATTTTAACGTCAAAATTATTAGCCCCTTTAAGCTATATATTTTTTTCGATAATCTACTGAATAAACCATTGTTATACAACAACTTGCCTAATTACCCTAACCTGCCGTTTTTAACCAAATTAACCTAGTTAAGCCTTTAAATGTCACATAAAAGTGTCTTAAAATATCTAGTCAAATATTATTTACTGTCAAAATGGCAAAGATAAAATAATTCAGCCATTAGAAATGAGGTTCTTATGTCTTCAGCTGTGTTGAAGAAATCTTCTCTCCGTTAAACAGAAATTGTGGAAAAAATAAATAGGGCTAATATATATATAAAAAAAAGTAACAAAGATTAAAAAAGATTTTTTAACTATTTTAAAAGTTGTAAAAAACACACAGTAACTGCTAGTCAGTTTTGAGGAAAACACAACACAGCGGCGTTAGTTATAATAGGGTGTTACAAATAAGCCACACACTTGGTCATTAATTATACTAACAAAATAAATGTTGAACTTTGAATATAATGTTATAAACTTTTTAAATAAAAAAAATGTTTTAGTAAAAAATATTTTTTAATAGAATTTTATTAAATTTATTTCTAATAACGCAAATAAATGCATTGTATAATAATGGATAAACATGCAATTAAATCCAAATGTGTATATACAACATATAAATAAATATACATGATGTGCTATGTAGAATAAAAATAATGTAAGTAAGTAAGAAATATACTATTTAAAGTAAACTGAATTCAATTAATTTTGTGAAATCTGACTTTATAAGGACATGTTACAAATAACCCTCCGTCTGTTACAACTTGCCTCGCAGTTGAAGTAAATAGTACCATTTTTACCCCTGGCACTTTTAGCAATATTGCCCAGAAACCATAGGTCCGGTGATCATACTTTCAGTGCTCATTTGGAAGAGAGACTTGTGTGTTGTTGGTAAAAAAAAAAAAATTGTTTGTCTAACCCCATTACTTTGTTCTTTATTTGGCCAAAACCAAAAAGTGTTAATTTGTACCCTGCAAAAAATAAATAAATAAATAAATAATAATAATAATAATAATAATAATAATAATAATAAACCTTATTAGGGTTTAGTTTGTCAAATTATTAAGCTTAAAATGTGTTGAGTCTTTGTTCTTGGGAAATATTGCTAATGTTTTTTTTGCCTTAAAACATACAGAAAACAAGTGATCACTAGAAAATTCCCAGTTTCATTGGATTTACTGCATTTATTAAGTGTGGATTTCATTAAAATATGACTATTTTTTATATTCTATGAAGGCGTAATAAAGTTTTGTTCCGATTTTCAAATTAAAGTACAGCCATTTGACTACCCCAAAAACAACACGTCGATTCCTTTTTTACATGATCTTTTCAGAAGCCCCACAGTGGAAGTGATTTAAGAGTGGCTGTCAGATTGCGTCAGGCATTCCAAAAGCACTTCTAAACTGGAAAGAAGAAAGTTTAAGATGTCAGGGATCATCAAAAGACACTGTGCTGTTTGTGGAAATCTACAGCCTCTGCGCAGGCCTCCAAAAGTCTGCAGCCTCAGGAACGCACAGGTTTATTTTTAAACAGCTGAAATCTGTCTACAGCCGACACAAGCAAACAAAAGCTATTATAATCAGTGCTGCTGTCTGAACTGGAAACATACAGCATACAGACGCCCATTCAGGTTCAGACATACGCATAGTCTAATGGCAACAGGAAAAATGACGAGTTAATACACAATCACTGATTTGCATCTCTGCACATACTTCAGAACATCAGAAATAAGCCGATGCATCATTTTTTTGACAAACGAGGCCATAGTGATGAACTGAAATAAAGTTTATTGAGAAGACTTTACAACTATTAAATAAATGCAATAAACTAAACCACACACAAACATGCTATTTTTTTCTCCTTCAGTCAAACATACAACCATGTGAAAAATTTAAGATAGCCTTTTGAATTTTATGGTTTTCTGTATCAGCACATAATGTTAATAACAATAAATAAATGGTCCTTGGCAGGGCTTGAAATTTGGAAGATAAAACTCAGATCAGGGTTCTCACTCTAAGCCAAATGTCAAAATCTTTGACTTTCACTCACTAAAAAGCTGAATTTCCATGATCTATGAGCACTGTGCACACAAAAAGAAAAGAATATATAAAATACGTCTTTAATAGCGTGTTGTCAGCCCACATCTGTTTATTGTGCTAAAGCCTGAAGCGAAGCTTGACTGGAAGTTTCAGCAGATTAAATTACTTTATTTAATTCAAGGGGCTTGTTAATCTCCTCGATTAGATTCTAATCTTAATACATCATTGATGCATGAAATAGTGGTTCTTTTACACCGATCTAAGGGCTTTATTTTAATGATCTAGGCACAAAGTCTAAAAAAGTCTAAAACGTCTAAAACGCATAGTGCAAAATCATTAAGGGCACGTCCGATTCCACTTTTAATGTTGTAAGGATGGGAAATACGCTTTGCACCACGGCGCATGGTCTAACAGGGCTGTGCTTATTCTCTTAATGAGTTATAGGTGTGTTTTGAGCATAACGTGCATTAAATTAACCAGAGTGGCATCTCCCATTACCTTTAAGATTCAGTTGCATCGCACCATGGCGTATTTGCTTTTACATGGCGGACTTTATAGGTGATAAAAACTGAATCAAAGGTAAAGTTGAAAAACTGAAAACTACAGCTCAAGGATAAAGAATGAGCCTCCTTCATTAGGCCTCTATATTTTCTCTTTACTTTAAGTCTTTACTCCTTTTGTGGATAAGGAAATGGTGTTGTAAATATCACTGAAGACATCCATTAGCCTACAGATTTAATTTTGTTTGTTAAGCGCAAAGATTTGTTTTAAAACTGTTTTTAAAATTCAGTTGTAATTTCCAGCAAACGAATACATGAACAATAATAACGAAGTGTGGTCAAAAAACTGAGTTATATCCAAACACACGTCCTATTCCTATGCCCCATATGGTGATGCATATGTCTCCAAAACCTGACAGGTGGACAGATCTAAATTTGTTCTTATTAAAACAAATACAAATATGCATATTATAAATAATACTATCACTTATAATTCAGCAAATTGTCATGAAAAAACTGAAAAATCTGTATGTAAAGATATTTGTGTATTGCTGTACATTCTGTGTGTATCAATGTGTAAGTGTTTGGACCTGCGTCGGCGCATAACTAACGTGCCCAGCGCTGGACTTTAGACTATCTTTTTGTTGGTCAAGGGCACACTCTATTTCAGTTCCTAAAAATATCAACACACCAAAAATGCGGCTTAACACACCTCCTTTTTACACCAGCTCATCCATGGGCCCACAAAGAGGCAAAATGGATTTGCTATTTAAACAACATGGCGCAAAACATGAAAATGAGGGTAGCACTAGGTCTGAAAATAGCAACAAATTGAGCCAAACATGTCTTGCGCCTTATTGTACCGGATGTATTATAGGGCCCTAAATATGTTACTAAATGCCATGTGCAGAGACAAAAAAAAGGTCAAAAACAGTAACAGTAAATTACAGTAGCTTGCAATCTAATTAACTATATTTTTCAATTCAGCCAGACACCATTTATGTAACCTAACATACGTAATAATAATAATAATAATAATAATAATGATAATAATAATAATAATAAAATAAAAACATACAATGATAAAAATTTAATTTTGATAAACTAAAAGTTTATTTAACATTTAATATTAATAACAAAAATTGCTGACCTAGAAAAAAACTGACTTTTTCATGATTGTATATATTTGTCCTTACTACTGGGAGAAATTTGAAGTGAAAACAATATTCTTCAGGATTATGTGTTATGTGTTTGTTCTGAACATTTGACAGCAAATTGTATTTGTAAAACATGCAAACCAAACAAATAACCTCTTTCTGAAATATGAAGCAGCAAACAGTAGACATGTTGACAGAAGGTGCTTACTCACCAGGAACTTGCGCTTCTGTTTCCAGTGCGAGCCCTGTGCATTGGTGTGGCGATGCGCTTCTGTTACGACACGGATCAGCTCCCACTCTGAGCTAGTGGGTTCTGGCCGATTCTGCAGAGTCTTCACCATCTCCTCCTTCTTCCGCTTCTCACGGTTCTCCTCAATTAAGCGCCGCTTCGCGACCCGCTTGCTGTCGTCCAGTACCACTACACCAACGAGAAAAACTGGTTACTTCCAGTTAAGTAAATTTCACTCATATAATCACAATAATAATAATTTAAAATATTAATAATAATAATAATAATAATTATTATTATTATTTATTAAATGATAACATATTTTCATAATAGAAAACATTCAAGTATAAAAGAAAATACATAAGTATTAGGAGAAACTAACCCCTATAACAAAATATCCCATTATGAATAAACATTTTGTATAATATACAGTAAACCCCAATTTAGATTTTTTTTTCTTTTTTAAATATTTCCCAAATGATGTTTAACAGAGGAGGAATTTCTGTTATGTCTGTTATTTCATAGTATGTCTGATAGTATGTTTTTTTTCTGAAAAAGAGTCTTGTTTGTTTTAATTTGGCAAGAATTATTTTAAAAATAAACATTTTAAAGTTAAAAATTATTAGTCCCTTTAAGCTATTTTCAATAGTCTACAGAACAAACCATCGCCATACAATAACTTGCTTAATTACCCAAATCTGTCTAGTTAACCAAATGAACCTAGTCAAGTCTTTAAATGTCACTTTAAGCTGTATAGAATTGTCTTAAAAATATCTAGTCAAATATTATTTACTGTCATCATGGCAAAGACGAAATAAATCAGTTAATAAAACTGTTATGTTAAGAAATGTGTTGAAAAAAAATCTTCTTTCCGTTAGACAGATATTGGGGGGAAAAAATAAACAGGGGGTCTAATAATTCTGACTTCAATTGTAGCATGTTTTCAAAGACTACATGAATTGAGTTGCATTCTGATTTGCAGAGTCATTTTCTAAGCACAAATCTCACTAGTTGTTAATAGAGGTGAATGTTTTATATAAAACATAAAACAAAATGCTAATTACCAGTGTTGGGCAAGCTACTTACAAAATGTAGTGATCTAAGCTATTAGCTACTCTACTTAAAATTTAGCTCCAGAGCGAGAGGTGGCAGTAACTGACCAAAAAGTTTGCTGTTGACCACGATAATACAGGAAGAAGAAGAAATCATCATTCTTGCCATCATATGGATTTTATTTTCATCGCCTAGACACCGGCCTCACAGCTCCATGAATCTTGGTGCCGTCATTTACTGATTTGTGATCGGTAAATGTATCTGTGTGGACTTTAGGATGTTACTTAACTAAAAAAATAGCTTCAATACTGAAAAGTTATTTAATTTAGAATGTAGCAATGCTGCCACCACGCTAGTACTGACAAATGTAGTTAAGCTAGTAGCGTCACTACTTGTAGTGAAAAATAAAATATGTTGAAATGTTGTTATTCAAGTTGAATTATGGAAGTGAAAACTTTGCAGTGATCAGTTAAAAATGTAAAGGAAAACAAAGTAGGTAATAAAGCAAAAGGTACTATAATTAAAAACACAATATAGAATAATAACATTATAAAAAATTAAAACAAACAAACTATATAAGGAAACAAAAACAAAACATGTAAAGCAAATAAAACGACAACAACAACAAAAAATGTAAAACAAGACTAAACAAAACAAAAGCAAAGCAAAACCAAATCAAATATTCAAAGCAACATGAAGCAAAATAGAAGCCCAACTCAAAACAACAACCAATCAAAGCATAGCAATTCAAAACACTAAACAAAACAAACAAACTATTATAACAGTGACATCATAAACGATTATGAAAAATAAAAACCCCAAACAGATATATTGTTGTATTTTAACTTCTAAAACATGTTTTCCTGGAAAAAAGACACATTCTAAAAAAAGAAGAATGATTTTGCAGTGCAGAATTGCAATGACAGAATGAGTAAGGGCATCGAGGAGGGATCAAAGTAGAAATAAGAGACATCCATAAAACATTATATCATGGTGAGAGAGGGAGTGACAGAGAAAGAAGAAATGTGGACTGAGCTGAACATGTGCTGTACATATGTTGAGGCATATAGACATATGTAAGGGGAACTCCCCTGAATAAGCAACTCAGTTTGCACAAGATTAATGTACATTCGCTCTCAACGTGCTTTGCGTATGGAATAAGCAGGACTGCACTACTGATCTAATACAGACTGTTGGATTATTCAAATGCTTCCGTTTTGAATTGTTCTCAAGTTTAATAAACTTGACACTAAGAGGCTGTTGCATGCTTCGTTTTGATTCACTGTTAAACATTTAACTGTTACAGTTCTATATAACTACGCTAAATAATTTTAGTTACTTTACTTTTTTATATTTTACTCTAGTAACACTACTGATTTAGTTATTTTACCTTTAGTTACTTTACTCTAGTTACTTTATTGAGTTTAGTTACATTGTTACTTAACTCCAGTAATTTACTGATTTTAGTTAATTTTGATACTTTTTCTAGTTACTTTATTGACTTTAGTTACTTTAAGTTACTTTACTGATTATAGTTGCTTTAAGTAACTTTGATCTAGTTACATTACTTTTATTCATTTTACTCTAACACTACTGATTTTAGTTACATTACTTTTAGCTACTTTAGTTACTTTATTAAATTTAGGTTCTTTTATTACGGATTTAGTTTCTTTACTTTTTTATATTTTACTCTAGTAATTACTGAATTTAGTTATTTTACTTTAAGTTACTTTACTCATTACTTTACATAGTTTAGTTGCATTACTTTGTTTCTTTACTCTCATTACTTTACTGATTTTAGTTACTTGACTAAGTTACTTTACTATGTTACTTTCCTGATTTTAGTTACTTTAGTTACTTTACTTTAAGTCACTTTACTCTTGTTACTTTACTGATTCTAGTAACTTCACTTTTAGTTACTTTACTCTTGTTACTTTACTGAGTTTAGTTATTTTACTTTGAGGTTCCTTACTGTAGTTACTTTACTGATTTTAGTTACTTTACTCTAGTTACTTTACAGAGTTTAGTTACTTTACTTTTAGATACTCTAGGTACTTTACTGATTTTAGTTACTTGTAGATACTTTTACTCTACTTACTTTACTGAGTTTTGCTACTTTACTTTTAGATACTTTAGTTACTTTACTGGGTTTAGTTACTTTACTTTGTTATTTTAGTTACTTTACTGATTTTAGTTACCTTACTTGTAGATATTTTTACCCTACTTACTTTACTGAGTTAAGCTACTTTACTTTTAGATACTTTAGTTACTTTACTGAGTTAAGCTACTTTACTTTTAGTTTCTTTACTCTGGTTACTTTACTGATTTTAGTTCCTTGACTTTAAATTACTCTCGTTCCTTTACTGATTTAGTTACTTTACTTTTAGTTACTTTGCTCTCATTACTTTACTTATTTTAGTTACTTTACTTTTAGTTACTTTACTCTAGCAACTTTACTGATATTAGTTACTTTACTCTCGTTAATTTTTTGATTTTAGTTACTTTATTTTTAGTTACTTTACTCCAGTTACTTTACTGAGTTTAGTTACTTTACTTTTAGTTACTTTACAGAGTTTAGTTACTTACTTTTAGCTACTTTACTCTAGTTACTTTACTGAATTTGGTTACTTTACTCTCATTATTTTATTGATTTTAGTTACTTTACTTTTAGTTACTTTACTCTTGTTACTTTACTGATTTCAGTTACTATTCATTCAGTTACTTGACACTCGATACTTTACCGAGTTTAGTTACTTTACTTTTAGATACTTTAGTTACTTTACAGAGTTTAATTACTTTACATTGTTACTTTAGTTACTGATTTTAGTAACTGTACTTGTAGATACCTTTACTCTAGTTATTTTACTAAGTTTGGCTACTTTACTTTTAGATACTTTAGTTTTGTTTAGTTTAGTTTTGTTACTTTTTAGTTTAGTTTTGTTACTTAACTCTAGTAATTTACTGATTTTAGTTACTTTAATTACTTTACTAACTAGTTACTTTACTTTTATATATTTTACTCTAGTAATTACTGTACTCTAGTTACTTTACTAATTTTAGTTACATTACATTTAGTTACTTTCTCTAGTACTTTATTGATTTTAGGTATTTATAGATACATTGAGTTACTTTAGTAACTGAAAGTTTTTTACTTTTAGATACTTCACTCAATTTAATTTGCTGATTTGAGTTAAAGTACTTTACTTTTAGATACTTTATTCTAATTACTTTATTGATGTAGTTGCTTTACTTTTGAAAAAAAAAAGGCTATGGACGAGGTAAAAAGGTTGAAATATAACATATGAACAATGTCTTTAAGTGTGGTAACCATAGTATGAGTGAAATTTTTGACTCCAGTCCACTTATTGTTAGAAAATAAAACACACCAAAAGTGTAAAGGCCGCTGCGCTTTGCATAAGTTCCATTTTATACAGTTCATACTGACTTTTCCTAGAAAATCACCAGTAGAAATCTTTTGAAGAGATCATGTGTGAACAGGACCTATTTAAAAATACCAAACAATATGTTCCTACTATTTCTCAGAATTAATATTTGTAACATTAGTAGTGTGTGTGAAGTTGCTCTGGTAATTTTATTCCAATTTACAAATATTACTGAGTAAAATTTAATAAACTTCACACTTTGGTGTTGTTGAATGCTTTATTTTGATTCACTGTTGAACATTCTAAGGTGTGCAGTTAGCAGTGTGAGAGGGGCTTTAAATACCACATCAGGCCTCGGGTATTGATCATAATCTAAAATAGTTTATAGATTATCATCAATGTTTTTTATATAAGCTACTTGCTAGTTGTCTAATTTGAAGTCATCTACAGTATGTTTAAAATCACAGTGGTCTTGATGCAAACCCATATTCTAACACATATGTTTTCATTTGTCTGTGTGTATTTTTGCATGTTCAGTGGTTTTACATGTTATTTGCATGTGTGTGTGCATTGGCACTTACAATCCATGGCCATTCCCACGGCAATGCATTTCTTGAAGCGGCACAGCTGGCACTGGTTGCGGGTGATCTTGTCAATAATGCAGCAGCCATCGTATTTACAGGAATAAGAGGGATGAAGGTTTTTCTGGATGGTGCGCCTGAAAAATCCCTGAGTAAAGGAGAAAGAGAGGGAGTTTAGGGACAGGTGTTTTCTGTCATATACTGTGCTTCCTGTGCCACATAAACAGGTGAACTACAAAGTGCCTTTTATCTTGTGTTGCTGTAAATGTATCAACATACAGATTTAAGTGACATATTGCTTAAAAAAAATTTATCAGCATGTTTGGAGCCTCACTAGTTGTTAAAAAGGTAAATGCTTTAACAAAAGAAAAAAAAAAACTAAAATGACAAATGAAAAACAAACAAACAACAATGTAAAGATTAAAGCTGCAAGTAGCGATAAAAGGAACCTCACACCCAGGCTCACTTCCACTCGGTGGCCTTAGGATGAATAGGATGAACTCTTCACAATTTAGCATAACAAAGGCCTTTGGATTAGACTAATATTGATCTAATAAAATTTGTAGGAAGAGTTTGTTACAGTGTAAATCATGCCATTTCCTGTTGCCAGTAGGTGGCGCTATGAATGGTGGCTGTACCTGGAAATTGGCATGTACATACGTGTTCAGGTCAGGACCAATTTTGGTGTTGATTTGATAAAATCCCTAGGAAGAGTTTATTAAAGTACAACACCTGGAAATGGCAAAAACTGCACTTTTTTTTTTTTTGAAGAAAGTTAAAAATATCCAAATTCCTTTTGAGTTTTAGATTTTGCTCCAAGAGACTTTTTTGAAGGAATTGAAGGTTTTGGCATATTGTATATGTGTGCCAATTTGCAGTCCCTAAAAATCATAAAAAGAAAAGAATAGCAAAGCAACACAAAAACGAAACAATAAACAAAAAGAAAAAAATAAACAACTAAAAAAGAGAAGTAAAACAACACAAATGCGAAACGGAAAATACAGCAAAAAAAAAAAAAAAAAATTAAAAAAGCAAAGTAATAAAAACTACAAAAAAACAAGCAGCCAGGCGTTGGAACTCCGTATCAAAAACATTAGCTCGTTGACAACGTTTAAAGGAAGTATTTTACAGGAAGCCTGCTATTAGTAAACTGAACAATATGTTTTTGTTTTTGTAGCAGGGGAACTCTCAAACTCTCAAATCTCTCTCAAGATCAGCCTGTTTAGACAGGAGTCACAGTCACAGACTTTCACAGCGCAGTTGTCATTCACAATTCACAGGGAGACCGACAGCAGATAAGATGTTGTTTAGGGTTCTGATATGACAAGTTTGAATATGCTAGGAGTATGAGTTTCACAAATGATGGCAGGATGTTTCATTGAAAACCTTGGAGCAGCTCCACACTATGATTCTATATAAAGTGACAGTGGAGTTTTTATTTGTGTTTGTGAGCCTGAAGTGTCTGTTAACAGATGTCACTGTGCACAAGCGATAGCAGAGAAGACCAACCTTACAGCCCTCGCAGGTTATGCACCGGTAGTGATATCCGGTAGCTTTGTCTCCACACACCACACACGGCTCATCCTTCTCCAGATAGCTGGGGATGTACCCTGCCATGCAATGAATAAATAGAAGGTTAAATAAATAATTCAAGTATTTGATCTTAATATTCAAAAAATGCAAAGCAATACAAAAACAGCTAAATAAAATGGCAAAACAAAACAACAAAAAACAAACCTAAAGCAAAGCAAATGAACAAAAATAAATATGTTTGCAAGCATAAAATTCAACTCAAAATTACAAATCTAAGTAAAGCAGATAAAACAAATACTAAGCAAAACAACGCAAATCAAAACAACAATCAAAGTAAGGGGCCGATCACACAGAACACGCTTTTAAGTTCCAAAAACGGTGCACCACACTGCCTTTTTATTGACAAGAAAAAAAGCATGGTGTGATGTCATGATGTCACTAGGAAACGACTGAATGCGCGAGTGTTGCTGTTAACGTTGTTATAATTGTAATCCTTAATAAAATTATGATATTCAAGATTTGTAAAGTAATACAGCTCTGAAGAAGTTGAAACAGTGACCACTAGACTCTCCTTCATCTTTAAAAATTCTCTGTAGTCATCTTGACAACACAAACACTGTTATAACCTCAACCAAAACCCGCCTCTGCTTTCATTTGATTGGAGAATGAAAAAAATGTAACTGATGTGACGGACTTTTTCTGCTAAGAATTTACTTTTTTTTTTTTCAATTGCGAGTGCACAGCACGCAACAGTAAAAACGCAGGGCGCGCAGGGGGCGTAAGCAGCACTCAAAACGCTTGCGGCCATTAGTAAACCATTCAAAAGATGCTCCCCTCAATGCAAAAAGTGCGTTCAGCGTGATTGACCCCCAATAAAAGCAAAACAAAAGAAAAATAAAACACAGAAACATGCAAACAAGAAATATCATCAAAACAAAAAGCAAAAGAAATCAAAACACATATAAAAACATAAAGCAGAGCAAAGAAAAATAAAAGAATTGTTACGCACAAGCTTGATATTCAAAGAAACAAACTAAAACAACATACTGTATCAAAATAAAACAAAACGACAGAAGTATAAAACAAAACAAACAAAACAAAACAAAAAGCAGAGCAAAACAAACTAAAGCATGGTGAAACATAGTAAAACAAGTAAACAAAAAAATGCAATGCAAAGATAAATAATAACAATGCTAAAGAAATACACAAGCCTAATATTTAAAGATTTACTTTTAAGGAAATCTTTTCCTAAAACTAGGGTGTACTCTAATTCATTGGTGGAAAACAGTCATTATTCATATTCATCATCAGTCATATAAACATTGAGTTTAGAAAAGTTCAGAAAGAACATATTTCATTGTTATCTGAGTACTTTTTAAGACATTGTCTTGTTAACCTTGACTGGTGAAAACCCTGAAGAGCCTTGAATGACTCTAAGAGTGACACTTGACAGCAGTTCAGATGCACCAGTGTGTCCAACAGGAAAAACAGCCACTTTTCTAAAGGTAGTAGACTGCTTTAACCACTCAACAAATGAATTCTATGAATCTTTTTGTTTACAATGTATACAATATTGCTTTACACACATGGTACTGTGTACAGAATTAAATATTACTCATATTACTATACACAAAGCTAAATAATATAGCCTCGATGCACTATTTTTAAATACTGCAGTTGTTAAAATTGTGTTGTGTTGTGTTGTGTTGTTAAAAAGTGTACCTTGGCTGGCTTTATTTGAACAAAAACTGTACAATTGTAATACTGTTAAATATTATATACAAAAAAAATAAAGAAAAAAATAAAGAAGAAAAATTCAAAAGAACAAAATAAATTGTTATTTTTTAATATATGTCTTGATATGGACACATACACAAAGAAAAATACAGAAATCAAGGTAAATCATATTTGCAGTCAATCCTTCTCAAGTTTGCATTGCAATGCTACTGTATTATACTATTTAATTTAGTTATGGGATCAATGTTTGTGAATTCCAGGAAGTGGCAGTGTAATACAGACAGAACTCTGTTGACATATTGATTTTATTTCATGATGTCTGGCATTATAATCCAAATCTATGAGTGACTTCCTTTGTTTTGACATGACAAAGACATTTCAGTAGTCTATATGATGGAATTAAATTATTTAAGCTCTAAGGTCATGTTTTTGAATTAGTTCTGTTGAGCTGTTAATTGCTCTTTAAAAGTGTTTAAAAGTTAAGACTTGTTTGGTTGTTTATTTCTTGTTTACACAATCATGCCATTTAACTGCTCTATAATTTCAATATCACACTCATAGCACTGCGATTTGGATGTACAGAAGCACTTCTGTGATACACACAAGCCATATCCACTGTTACTACTCAAGTGAAATATTATGCACACACACACACGCACACGCACGCACACACGAACATCCAAACAAATGGACATCTGAAGTCAGAGAGCAGTGTGCATTTCTCCAAACACATGTATAAATCTGGGTTTAATCAAGGCTTTCATTGAGTTAGCTTAAATTGAGAATATAAAATTTGATGTGAGATTTAACCTTGAATAATCTTTCATTCTACATCTAAATCAGTATTGGAAATTCCTAAAAAAAAGAAACAATTAAGAATCCTTATTTGTTGTTATTATTATTGTTATTTATGTACAGTACTTGATATTTTAATCTTGAAAGATTAAAACTAAAACAGGTGAAAAGACAATTTCATCTTGTTACATTACAATTCACAAGGTCACCAGCAGGAGGTGCTAAGATGGCCTAGGAAAAAAAAGCATTTCTCAGCTACATTGTCATCTTGGGAGGATGAGTTGTTTAAAAGTAATTACTTGACCATTCCCCTCGTAAGGCATTTAAAACCTGTAAACAAAGTTCATATTCTGTGTCTGTTTGAACCCAAATTAATTGTTCCTGTATTCAGTATTCATTACTTAAATAGCATTAAGCATATTGTTGCTGATCTGCAACTTCTCATTTATAGGTGTAAGTGGAAAAAGTTATCATTCATTCATTATTTTTTCTTCACCTTAGTCCCTTTATTCATCAGGGGTCGCCACAGCGACTGAAAACATATCCAGCATAAGTTTTACACAGCGGATTTCAGCTGCAACCCAGTACTGGGAAACACCCATACTCTCCCTCACCCATACATGCCTTGCCGTGTTCGGCTCACTGTTTCACTATTCTTTCAGCTATCATCTCTGCAAGGTCTGAAATTTTTCACACTGGACATGGAAAGCGCTGCACTATATAACCCATTCTTTTCAATGGCTTGCACCGTGTTAGGGTAGCCCAAAGTGCAAGAGCAAGCAAAAGCACCCTAAACTAGCTTGCGTATGCATCATGGTCAAAGTTCAAAATCGTTCAGTATTCTACTCTGTGGATATTCCATTAATGTGCAAATATAATTATCTATGAATGAACCACATATGCCTACCTGAAAAACAATAGGTTACTGAAGTAACCCTTCGTTCCCCGAGGGGGTGGGGCAGGGATGAAAATGCTATGTGGAAACTTTCACTATGGGGCATTTCGTCAGAAACCAATCATACTCTGAGTATAAAATCGGGCCAATGAAATGCCAATGAGTTGGCGGCGTCAGCATGCACAGCTGGTGTCAGTGACAATCAGTGATGCTATAAAGACGCGGCTAGTGCAATTCTAGCTGAAGAGACTCAGCTAAGCTCAACAGCTAAGGGACAATTGTTGTGGCGAAGGTACATAGCATTTCTGACTAAATTTTGCTAAATTTTTCAGGGAGTCAAAAATAACCCCGTAAAATAGGGTTAAAATAGTTCCAGATGCTGCCTTGTCCCTGAGAGAGTAGGTCCTCTCTCAAAAAGCCCCTCCAGGGGGGGCCGTCGCGAGGAGGGAGAGTTCTGATATCCAGGTCTGGTTGGGCCAGAGAGGCACAACTAGCAAGACCTGCTCCTCATCCTCCCTGACCTTGCACAGTAACTGCGCGAGTAGGCTCACTGGGGGAAACGTCTATTTGCACATGCCCACAGGCAGCTGTTGGCCAGTGCATTCATGCCGAGGGAGCCCTCGGTAAGAGAAAAGAACCTTTCTCAATGGGCGTTCTTGGCAGAAGCAAACAGGTCGACTTGGGCTTCCCGAAGTGTGCCCATATCAGCTGAACAGACTCGGGGTGGAGTCGCCATTCTCTCAAGGATAGGAGCTGCCGTGAGAGCGAGCTGAGACATACGGCGGGAGCGCATACCCCACATATGGTTGATATACACTACCGTCGCTGTGCTGTCTGTTCTGACCAGCACGTGTTGCCCCCTCAGCACCAGTAAATGCGGCGTAGAGCGAGAAACACTGCCAACAGCTCTAGGCAGTTGATATGCTAATGCAGCTGGGTTCCCTTCCACAGGTCCACAGCGGCATGCCTGCGACACACGGCTCTCCATCTCGTACTGGAAGCATTTGTTGAAACGACAACACACCTGGAAGCCTGAGCTAGGGGCTCTCCGGCCCGTAGGAAGGAGGGGTTCCTCCAGGGGGTGAGGGCGGGGTGACACAGCACAGTGACAGTCACTCTGTGTGTGTCCACGTGACATGCAGCAGATGCCATATGCCCCTGGAGCCTCTGAAATGATTTCAAGGGGACCACCTTTTTTCTGTCGAACTCTCTCAGACAGTTCAGCACTAGCTCGGTGCGCTCTTGTGAGAGGTGTGCCCTCATGGTGATCAAGTCCAGCTCCAACACGAGAAAGGAGATGCTCTGCGCAGGGGCGAGCTTGCTCTTTTCTCGGTTGACCTGAAACCCCAACAGGTGGAGGTGCCAGAGCTTCTTCGTCTCTGTGCATAGTCAATTGCTCCTGAGCGCACTACGTAAGCCAGGTTTTCACACCCCTATAGTCGGTCCGGCTGCGGGGCTGGGGGATAAACCATCTCCAGAGCCATGGCTGAAGCAGACTGGGGAAGCATGGCCACAAAGTCTGCTTCTAGATTCGACACCACGCTCATCAACCCTAAGGGAGGATGCGGGTTCAAATCCTCATCAGACATTGACAGCCCACACCCCAAGGATGATGAGGATGGAAGCGCATGCAGATCGGGCAGAAAAAAGTGCCCTCAAAACTGCTTGAGCTTACTGTGCACTTCCGGGAATAAGAGGACGGAACTTTTGAAGGTCTTGCCTCCTTCTATCCTCCACATAACACCTAACTAGTCGGTCCCTTCGCAGGGCTGATAAACCATCACCAGGCCCACAGCCGAAGCAGCCCAGCATGTCTGCTTTTTAGATGCTAACGCCGTGCTATCCAACCCGGAGGGAGTGAGCAGGTTTGCATCCTCATCAGACAATGACAGCCCATCTTTCGATACATCGATGGACATCTGATTCTCTGTGTCATCAAGTGAGAGAGCGACCATCCAAAGACGAAGCGCTTCTCTTCACCTGAAGCTTGGATGGAGCGCGTGGAAGAGCGAGACGTCTGCAACCCGAAGGCGGGGGATTTACTCTCACTGTAACCCTCAGATCTGCCCAAGTGCCAACCGCAGTGCGGGGGACAACTGAGGTGGGTAACTTTTTTGCAAGAGCAATCCGCAATCTTTCCTGCGCAACAGACATGACATCACAGTGACGGCATGCACTGCATCCGAGTACCGCATTAACATGCTGGACCTCAAGACATGAAATGCTGTGCTCGTGCCCATCATCCAGGGACAGGAAACTATCGCATCCAGAAATGCATGGTCGGAGCGACGTCTTCAAAAAGACGGGCTGCACAGCTGTGTCGCTATTTAAGGAAAGCTATTTTCCTATATACAAACCACTCTGGGAGGACCTGACCCAAAGGACGCCAGGCAAGGTTGAAAAGCCGAGCTCAATCGTCTGCCACTGCGTACATGCGCTCTGGACCGGGAGAAGCTCCTTGTCAATATCTTTCTGTAGACACAGGTTGGAGATACCCTTAAATACTTTCTCAGAAGCTTGTAAAAGGCTCTGAAAGCGAAAAGAAAGTTGAGCATTGCACTAGCCGCGTCTTTATAGCATGCCTGATTGTCATTGATGCCAGCCGTGCACGCTGATGCCGCAAACTCATTGGCATTTCATTGGCCCGATTGTATACACTTCCAGATGATTGGTTTTTGATGAAATACCCCATAGTGGAAGTTTCCACATAGCATTGGAGTTACCCATCCGAAGGGGAACAATGTCTGCTTTTTAATTAATGCGCGGATAGGGCATTTCTATGTAGCACTTGTTCCTGTTGCTTGCAAGAGTGCAATTCTGTTGTTATGACAATGCTGGTAAAATTATGACTTTCAACACGTTTACTGTCAGTAACAGGTGGTTGCTTTATTGGCTTGTTGTTTTTTTAGAATCAGTATAATTTGATTTACTAAGATACATTTTTCAAAATCTTACACATTTTATTTATGTTACTTAATAAATAATAAATAGTTTAGTTTTTTGGCTAATGCATGTAGAAATGTTGGTGTTTATTTCGGCCCAGATTTTTCATTTGAGTACTTCTCTAGATTAAAGTACAAAAAAAAAAAAATTAAAACTAGTTCCATTTTAAACCATCGAGTGCATCAATGCAAATTTGAAAAAAAAATTTAAAATCTATGATTTTCAGGTTTAACACAATAATAGATTTAATATATATTTTAGGGGTATTTTCTGAACCACATTTGATGTGATGAGATTAATTTGTTATTTCTTTGTTATTTTTTTATATACACACCCTCACACGGCTCATACACAATAAATATACTGAAAAAAAAACTAAAATACCAAAGCTAAAATAAACAAAGGTAACTATCTAAATAAATATCTAAATAGGCAAATATATTCCATTTTTATCAACAAAATGCAGTCCCAAAAGTTTTGGACAGTGAGAACAATAATTACTATACAAAACAAAAGTTATTTTTACACTTTCATTTTTAAAGTATACTACCTAATACACCTTTAGACTTGGGTTCAAAATGACCTGAAAACAAGTATCAAACATTTTTATTATTATTTCTCTTATGTTTTATGATTATTAAAAATATGTCCTTTATACAAAAATAAAAAATAAAAAAATAAACAGCAGTGGTTTGTACCTTAAAACAGTAAACATATCACCACGTTGCTCTACAATCTTTCTTTCGCAAGTACTTTTAAGAGTACCAGTACTACACAGTAATAGAACAGTATATGGTTTAAAGGCTGCTGCGAACATGAGGTAAGCCAGGCAAAAGAGCTTTAAAAGATGCATAATCGAAAGCCTGATGAATCAAGCAGAGACAGACTGCTCTGAGTAAATGTACAGCATCTAACCATCAGGCCAACTTTACTCAACTTCCTTACCTGAACAACCACCAATAAAAAGTAAATCCTCACACAGCTCATTAGCCTTAGAGAATGATCGTTTTAGTGTGAGTTACAGTATCCTGAAGATATCATCAGAACATTGCATAACAAGAAGCCTATTGAGATGACTGAAGCTGCAGCGGATGTTCAGAGGATCACGGGGCATCTCAAAAGCCTTCTGGTGTGTTTCTGAGAAATGTGGCGTCACTGATGAATTGTGGGATCACAGAAGAGGAGTGAGCTTTAGGCAAGAGTATCGAAACCATTCGCTAGATTCCCTATATCGTGTATGGCGGTTTAGATGACAGCATCAGGAAAAAGGAAAGCAAGTGTGAGTCAGAGAGATTTTCTGCCACAGACAATTCTGTCATGACTTAAATGTCACCATTCATTTGTCACATTTATTGTATTATCTGACAACAAATAGGACAAAACCCCAGCTTGCCAGGATTATTTATCTATTAATTCATATTTTAAAATAAAAATATAAACATAGTATTTCCACCTTTTTCCTACACCAAATGTTACTATGCCTGAGTTATGTGAGCAGCTTCTGTTAAACTGCAAACAATCCGTCAAATGTTTTAAAAACCTTTCATTCATCAAATGCCAAACGAGAACTTACTAGAACTCTCAGCAGACCATTAATAGCTCCAAAAACCTCAACCACAATATTATAGATGTGTCGCACATCACACACACCAACCGAAAATAATCTGAAGGCACAGAACACAGTGAACTCAAAGGAGCTTTGGCCACAGACACGCTTATGAAACTAATGTCATGAAAAGAAAAGAAAAACAACAACAAAAAACAAAAACAAAACAAGCATCGTTTACTTTTCATGACAGATAAAAATAAAGCAAACCCAACTCTCATGTTTTAGAACTATCTACAAAGATTTTTTGTACCAGAATGTTATTATTATTTACAATTATATGTGCATTTTGGGTGGAAGTTACAAAGCAATCTGACACTAATTTGTAACTTGTAAATGTATTGGCTAATTCATATTTAATTCTATGATCTCATTTGTACATTTTAGTTCAGTTTGCTCAACCCTCGATTACAGTTGGGTTTAGGGGTGTGGGGTTTGGGGGCACGCCTCCTTTAAAAACAAATCATACATTTTGTACAAATTCGTATGTACCTTGTAAATGTAAAATCGTATGTACCTTGTGAGATTGGGTTGGAAGTACTTGAAACTGGAAGTGGAATCCATAATTTGAAATGCAGCAGTAAAGTGTGGAAAAAGGTGGATAAATATAAAACATTATTTCAAATAATATAGGCATTAACTATCAACAAGAACCTGAACAAAGTGTATTAACACATTATTTATTATTTTAGCTGTCCTCTCATCTTTTTTCCTGGCTTGCATTTGATTTTGTCAAATGGTGCTTCAATGAGTTTACATTCACATTTAGATTTGACAGCAGGTAAAAAAAAAAAAGTAGTGAACCAGTGTAAGGAATAAAGTTGCTGACTCAAAATGTAAACACTGCAACAAAATAGAAGACACCAAATATATAATGCACTAGACAGTGGAAACAAGGTTATTTCAGACAAAGCTAGTCTTCTATCAGACATCTTACCTGACATGCTCTTCACCGAACACTGGCTGTTCTTTCTCTTCCTTTTCGGGCCATCGAGCCACCTGGAAAAAAGAGGAGAGAGAAGGCTGCTATTAGTTGAGAAGTCTTTGCCCTGATTCGATGGCTACAATTCCCTGTGGTTTCACTTTATATTTTTAACTAGCACACTTTCAGCTCCGAGAGCTCAGACAACATGACAAGCCTGTCATTTTGATTGAGAGAGTGAGGATCACAAAAAAAAAGAAGACTGCAAATACAGGCACCCTTACTGTTTGAGTCAGGGTGCATGCGTTTCTGACATGTTCATGCCCCTCAGGCCACAGGACAAGCCAACTGCCCTTCTCTCATCACAATAATTTACTGCAGTTTTACAATTTATTTTAAAATATGTATATTTTAAAGAAAATTATTCTGTTTATCAAGGTAGCATTTATTGAATGTAAAAAAAAAATAATAATAAATTAAATTGTTAAATATTCATTACAATTTTAAATAACTGCTTTCTTATTGTATATAGTTTCAAATGAAATTATTACTCCAGATATTATTGCTTTTACTACTATTATCATTAATAATAATAATAATAATAATAATAATAATAATAATAATAATAATAATAATAATAATAATAATAATTAATACTAGAGTGATTTCTGAAGGATCGTGTTTCTCTAAAGACTTAAGCTGAAAATTCATCTTCAAAATGACCGGAATAAATTGTTAAATGAATTATAAACTACTTTTGAACAGTTACTTTATAGTTCAACAACATTTCTCAATTTTATCATCTGTACTGTATTTTTGATTAAATAAATGCAGCCTTGGTGAGCAGGAGACGCTTATTTTAAAACATTAAAAAATGGTACAGACCCCAAACTTTTGACTGGTAGTGTGTATACATATATATATATATATATATATATATATATATATATATATATATATATATATATATATATATATATATATATATATATATATATATATATACAGTTGAAGTCAGAACTATTAGCCCTCCTTTTAATGTTTAAATATTTTTTCTAAATATTTCTCAAATGATGTTCAACAAAGCAAGGAAATTTTCACAGTGTGTCTGATAATATTTTTTTCATTCAGAGAAAGAAGTATTTGATTTATTTCAGCTAAAAAAAGCAGCTTTTAATTAAAAAAAAAAAAACATTTAAGGTCAAATTAGCCCCTTTAAGCTATATATATATATTTTTATAGTCAACAGAGAAAACCATCGATATGCAATAACTTATTACCCTAACCTGGCTAGTTAACCTAATTAACGTAGTTAAGCATTTAAATGTCACTTTAAGCTGTATAGAAGTGTCTTGAAAAATATCTAGTAAAATATTATTTACTGTCATCATGGCAAAGATAATTCAGTGGACAGTGACTAAAAAAACATAAGATGATTTCCTATAAACTCTTATGCAGCACATAAAAACACACATGCAAAACAAATACAGCAACAAGTAACTTGTATAACTAAACTACTATATAACTATATGTAACTAAACTAATATATAGCCTACATTAATAAAGAAAAACAAGATAAATAAAAGAAATAAAAGAAAAAGAAAAGAAAAAACTAATCAAAACAATACAAAACATAAATAAAAACACTCAATTAAAAGCATTTTTGGTAAATGTTTTGGTTTCCACTGTCAGACCAGTAGCCCTTCAGATGTACTAAAATCACATCCTAAACAAACCTCCACAGAGCAACGTTCAACAGAGTTACGTTACACATTCTAATGCATTGTGTTGCAATAAACCAATCTGTAGTTTCCCTCTTGAAGCCAATATGGAAGTTACTGAAACTGCAGTTTATCGACTGGCCACTTAAGGCTGGCACCAAAAGGTAGTCAACTCCATAAACTCCCCATGTTATAACACCCAACATTACAGTAGAAAAGGAGGTGTTTACAAAAGCCTGGTACAAAAAAAAAAAAAAAAAAAAAAAAATTGGTGTCTATAATTAATGTATATAGTGTGTTTAATTAAACTAACACTATAATTAATATTACACTTCATAGCATAATTAAGATAATTAAGAGTCTGCCCACTTGACTGACAGGTATCTGCAGCTCAGTCACAGCTATTTTATTTCAGACTTCAATACACTCCAGAATGTGACAGAATGATTAGCTGTAGGCTATAAAACAGTCATCTGAAAAGTTGCTTTGCCTAGATTTTGTAAATAGCATTTACAAACAAAGATTATATTTAAAGTTTTTAAAAGTAAGTAGAGTTTTCCTCTTGCAGAAAAATCTTAAAAATAATGCTTGAAAAATGTCCAATGTGGCTCAGTGAATTAAAACAACACAGATCAAACACAGTAAACACAATTTAGATATATTATACAACCAAGCTTGTCATAATTATTTAGTATTGAGCATTTCATCTACACCGTTAACCCCCCTTAAAAAAAAAAAAAAAAAAAAGTAATTTAGAGAAAATACAACCAGGCATCTTTAACTCCGCCCATGCCCCGCCTCTTTGCCCATTTGCAGTTACACAAGAGTGACGCGAAGTCAGCACCATGATGCACTGACAACATTGCACCAGTTAGCACTGCCCACATGCAGCCTTATTTGTACTCTTTAGAAACCCAAAGGTGACATCATGGACACTACATCTATATTTTTTAAAGTCTATGTTGAAAACGTACACAATACTTGGATAAAGCCATTCCCTACTTTGGGTTAGCATCTATAAAAACATTTAAACTTACTTTTAACAGCAATATCCAACATCTGCTCAACATCAGGTCAGCCAGTAGCAGAAACAATCATTATGACACATCTGTGTGCACCGAGACAGACTTACAGCACTAAAATGACCAAATGTCATCAATTATCAATGAGAGCTGAAGAATTCAGAAGCAGTCGCTGACAAAGCGAGAAACAAAGAGTGCTAAATGAGCAGTTACGAAATACAGTGACCACCAAAGGGATGACAAACAGAGCCCGGCATAATCCGCTGGACATCATATTAATAATAAGGCCGCTCTGTGACCTCCAGCGACATATACGTGTGAACGGATACATCGAGCCTGGCTGTGATTAAAGAGCTGAAGAGAAAAAGAACAGAGTTACATAACAATATGTCCAAAATAATGCAGGCAAATCTGTTAGCATTCAGTGCCAGTCTCTCAACACCCTTTCAATGCCACTACTGCTCCTAAAGCTAAACTCTTTAAAAATACATCAAAATAGACTTTGATTTCTACAGGGAGAGCTGTTTTAATCCTCAGTAAACACAACAACACTAATATGAGAGAATATGCAAGATGATTTTGATGGAACAGAGCAACTTGAGTTCACTTGGAGACTGTGAAACACATAAAATATTAATTGAAACATCATAAGCTGTAGGGGTGGACATCTTTTACAGTTATATAACGAAATTGCATTATCTTTATGAAAACATAATACTGTGCTGGAATGGATGTGGATAGTGAAGTTACAGCATAGTACTTTGGTAGGTAGGCCAAACAAGTGTAATGCTAACACATTTTTATGGTGTTTTTTGTTTTTGTTTTTTTGGTGTCTTTCAAGTCATTCCACTTTTACCTATTTTTAATAAATTAAATTTCACGATAGTAACTGTGCCTTCTTTTAAATGTTTTTTTCTTCACATTCTGTTCATAAAAAGGCAATGTTAGGAAAAAAAACACTAAAAAGGAGATATTTAACTAATTTAAAGCAAAACAGAAACTGCATGATCTAGTATCCAGTACAATCATATTGTAGTACTTCAATAAACAACACAAACATGTACAGTGTTCATATATTGCTGTATTTATATTGTATTGTACGGCACGTTAAGATTCACACTGGTGTGCTTGTAATTTAACCCTTATCTTCTGTTTGGGATGTTTTTATCCACTCTGGGGTGATTTTGAGTCTTAATTTGGCCTTAACTTTTTTGTGTTTCAGCTAGCGGAATTTTTAGTGATAAATCATACTTTGACACATATTTTGAGAAAATCCATCAAATTTCTTTTTAAAGAACTCAGCGATACACTCTGGGAAAATGTACTATTCTTTTGTTATGTTTGAGATGAAAACATCCACTAAATAAACTGCCGTAAAAAATGCATCAGATAAATATTCTGTTCAAATGTTTTTGCATAAATCTGTTACTCAACCTCAGTCCTGATCAAAACTACTAAACTACTTGCTTAGAAATTACAGGATTTTAAATCCTTAATTGTCAAATTCAGAAATTATGTCACTGATTTGGTGAAAAAAAACACACAAAAGGTCATATTTTCAAAAAAAAAAAATAAAAGTAATTGTGGACTGGATTTGTTTTATCTTGGACATTCATTGATTCATTCATTCATTCATTGATTCATTGATTCATTCATTCATTCATTCATTCATTCATTCATTCATTCATTCATTCATTCATTCATTCATTCATTTTCTTGTCGGCTTAATCCCTTTATTAAGTTACAGCGGAATGAACCACCAACTTATCCATACGCAGCGGATGCCCTTCCAGCCACAACCCATCTCTGGAAATCATCCACACACATACACTACGGACAATTTAGCCTACCCTATTCACCTATACCACATGCCTTTGGACTGTGGGGGAAACCTGAGCACCCAAAGGAAACTCACACGAACGCAGGGAGAACAAGCAAACTCCACACAGAAACTCCAACTGAGCCAAGGATCGAACCAGCACACAAACACACAAAATAACACATTTAAATATATATATATATATATATATATATATATATATATATATATACCCTTTTAATGCCACAACTGCTACTAAAGCTAAACTCCTTAAAAATACATCAAAATGGACTTTGATTTCTTCAGGGAGAGCTGTTTTAATCCTCAGTAAACACAACAACACTAATATGAGAGAATATGCAAGATGGCGAGCTTGATTTTAATGGAACAGAGCAACTTCAGTTCACTTTGAGATGTGGGATGTGTGTATGTGTGTGTGTGTGTGTGTGTTTTCTTCTCACAAGTCAGTGACATCATTTGTGAACTTTGCATTTAAAAAGTTTAAATCCGGTAGT